AACTCAAAAGAAGCAGAAGTTAGTATAGTTTAGTTTTGTGCTAAAGGAATTAAAGGCCTGTCCCCAATAAAGGCAGGGGGAGTTCAGTGATTTAAGTAAATAAACGCCCGGGCTATTATTAGAAGTTGTACAGTATGTGTGTGTGTTTTGGGAGAGGATCTGATTACCTGGTAGAACTCGATTCCCTGGTCGGTGATGAAGACGATCTCATTCCAGTTGGTCCAACAGAAACCCAGAACATTGGCGTTCTTCGTCTACAGGACGAGACAAAAACAATACGCTCTTCATCAGCTGTTAAACTCAATCAACTTCCTCTAATCTGAAACTTAAAAAGACCAACAGGACAAAAGGATGAAGGAGGAAGAGGACGATGAAGCATTACCTTGCACTCCTGAGTGAACTCTGTGTGCGGATAGTCGGGTATGAAGTTGATGAAATCCTACAAAATAAACATAAAATCAATAGTTACTCTTTAACCACTTACTTTACTTTGAAAAAACAAAGTTAGAAAGCGCTTCCTGTTTCTCACCACGGACTTTGAAGTTCTCTGAACGGCCAAGATCTTATTTCCGATGGAGAACTTTATACACTTCACTTCTCCTTTATCGTCCATTCTGAGGAGGAAACGCACATCGAAGGGTTAATATAAATATATAATCATTTAAATCACATTTCACACCTTCAGATATTATTCCTGCACAGGCTGAGGTACCTGAAGGCAACACTGCTCTTGTCTTCCGGGCCTTTGACCACGACTCCGGTGGCGCCGCCTGAACGCACCGCGAACACCTGCAGCCGGAAAACAGGAAGGAAAGATATCAGAAACCCAACTGGATCAATAATAACAATCAACCCTTCAGAACATAAAATATTACTGTTATTGATCACCAACTGTCTTAAACGTTTTCAGTTAAAAGCACTAATAAATGATTATATATTATACTATAATATATAATAATGTATTTATAATGCAGAACTTTTCAAAGCACAAAAGTCTAACTTCTTTAAAATCAGCTTAAGGTTCAATGTCTCATCAAAATGGAATTATTGTACAGCCGAAGCTTTAAAGGGGGGGTTGCGAGGCCTTCTTGATTTTAATGTGTGAGAGAAAACCTTAAAGATAAACACAGCAGGTCTAAATCTCAGTGTCTGGTTCACTTCTGTGAAGAAAAGTGAATATAAAATGTCTAACAGAGCAATGACAGAGTGTCAGGGAGAAGGAAACACTGAATTTGTCAAAAAAGAAGCTTTTTAAGTTTGAAAGATTGCTAAAAAATAAAAAGAAATACAGAAAACAGACAGATAATTGTATAAAAAGTCACATAAACAGGAAATAATCTGCTGAAATTAACTCATTTTACAAACTTCTTGCAGCTTCTGATTCACTATCTGACTTCATTGAACAGCTCATATAAAATCCCACTATATTATGTCTCTGAGTCAGTTTAATAACTCATAACTCTAAATATAACGCACTGTAACTAATATAAACTGCATTACAGTGTCAGTTAGCTCCGGGTTGGCTCACCTGTTTGTTGGCCTCGTCGAAGAACACGTTGTTGACGTTTGACGCATGCTCAAACTGCACCGGGCTCTCACACAGCTCCAGGTAGTGCTCCTCACTCATCGTGCGCAGGTGTTCACTGCTCTTTACAGATGTTCTACAGATGTTTTACTGCTGTCATCAGAGTCCTGGTAGCATCTAACGCTAACCCGGAAGAGACGCTCCGATCAGCTGCTGTTACACTTCCGGCGCGGCTCTTCAGAATAAAAGCGGCGGTTAGACGCACGTTTATAGATGTGTAGTCCTGAAGTCGGGTTAAATTTGTGTTTAGAGTTAATTTCAAGACACAGGGAACGAAAATGAATTATTATTATTGATTATTTATTTATTTATCACATTATAATTCCTGATGATGTAATCTAAATACCAGAGGATACCTTTTTTAAAACCTCTGAAGGACCCAGTGAACTAAAGACGCAGATTAGTCATTATTAGTAATTACTTATTCATTTATCACCTTTATTATTATTACAAATAAGTGATAATACAATTATGTAATCTACAATCACAATTAAAAAGAACAGAATACAGTTTTAAACTCTGAAATGCTTTTTTTGTGTGCATTTGATTCATTTCTCGACTACAAATTTATTTAAATCAGAACTATTTCTGAGCTGTTTTTTGTAATACAGTTTTTATTCTTTACATTTAAATTTAAATGTTGTTAATGCAGTTTCTTTTCTGTTTGAATTTCTTGTGTATAAAATGTGCTGTACAAATAAAATTGCATTTATCTTCATTGAGTTTTGAAACATTTTGTGCAATTTAAAACCCTTAATACAAATAAACGTGCAAATCATGACATAAATGTTTAAGGTAGCAATGTTGTTTTTGGTAAAAATGTTTTTAAACCATTGTCTAGTTAATGTTTGGCAAACAGACTTTAATAAACCTGATTTAGACTTTAAACTGAAGCACTTTCATATCTCAAAATAAGTATTTTGCCCTTCAGTTCATATTTCTATCTGTCTTTTATTCTGAAGGAGGCAGATCGGAAGTGTTGTTGTTTTTTCTGGCCGTCATGTGACAGCCTGACGATCACGTGCTCAGACATGAATAGTCCAGACAGAGAATAAACAACAAAACAGAACAAACCTTTAATAATGAACACAGCTGTTTATATATTTATATTAAAACAAATAAAAACACAAACAAGAGTTTTTTAATCTTCATCCTTTAATGTGTCTGCAGACAGAGACACAGACAGAGACACAGCGATTTAAAGACGACTTTAATTTACTCACACGAGCTTCATAATCAACAGGACGAAGAGTTCAACTGTAAATGTGAAACAGCGTCTGGATCTTTCATCGTATTGGCTGCTGATGTTTGTGTTGATTAGTAAATGCAGTTATAACCTCCTCACGTATCACACACTGTGTGTGCTCGTCTTCCTCAGCGTCACCTGGAGAGGAAGGGAAGTCTTCCTCAACCCTCATTCCCCAGAAACTCAACAACTATTTAAGATAAAGATTTGACCTTGCAGCAGGTCCTCGTGTAGCTTTTTATTTTACTGCGATTCTCACAAACAAAAAAAAACAAACACAAACCAGAATCGGCGCCGATAAAGCAGCGGGAGCGTTTTGAGGTTCGGGCTCAGGACGCTCCGACTTCAACATCCAACACGGTGAAACTCATCCCTCCTGCAGCCAGGAGGAGGCGCTCCGTCCTGCAGTTGGTGGGGGGGTCAGTGGGTGGTGGCGGGGTCCTCCAATGGGGGGGGCTCCTCCGTTCATCACCTCTTTTTTTTTTTGCGTTTTCAACACGGCGGGATCGTGAAGAGAGAGCGTGCTGGGCGGCCGCTAGTCGTCGGCGTCGGGTTTTAAAGGAGGGCCGCCGTCCTCAGAGGACACGGGGAAGCTCTTCTTCCCTCGCCGCTGCACGTGGTCTTCATTCCTCTTCTCCAACGCCACGATCTGTCGGAGGGAGAGAGAGAGAGAGAGA